TAGATTTTCGTATTTAATTTCACTATCTGAGAATAATTCCGACATAAAGTCTGAATCTAATCTATTTCGTGAATCATTTGATCCCTCGGCGGATAAAAGTTTTGGAGTTGAAGGGGCCGGAACCGGTCGAGTATTTTGTTTCTATAAGAAAACACAGATATAAAAAAAGAATTTTTTTTTTTTTTTTTTTTTTTTAAAAAAAAGATTCAAAATATTAAAATATTTCACATAATAATCACCCATTCCAAGAGGAGTTGTATTAAAGTCGCCTTGTCTCCCTCAGCATTTATCCCTAATAAGAGTAAATTGTCAATCACTTGGTCCGATTAGTCATACTAAAGAATTGTGGATTTACCTCGGTCAACACACATGGCTATCAAATCTGCCCAAGTTTTGTCATTGAGAGTCACTCGATTTTCATGTTCCAAAGCTTCATCTTGAAAGAAAAATGCTAATCCATTAAAACATGAAAAGATCGTACATCCTAGAAGCGATATCTACCTATATGATGCTCGAGTATTTGAAAAGGTGCCATGTTATATAACGTAACTCACTAAAATGATTAAAACGTAAGCTGTCAAAACCGTATGGGTTCTTTATATCGTTTTAAGCTCAAATATTATGTCATCCTTACGCAATAATGAATGTTTGTGCAACGCATTTTTACAATAACAAATGTATATGCCATTCATTGTAAATAGGCTTTATCGACGAAACGCCAATTTACAAAAGGAGACAACTTTTTACGGAGTTCGGATTGGTAGCCAATTTACATCCCCTCTGAGCGTGGTAATCAGAAATGAAAATGAAGATTCGAAACGTGGGCTTTTCGGAGATATAGAAATAGAAAACAAATTGGGTGCGGGTGGGTTCAAAGATTGTTTTGCAGGAAAATACAAGGGGGTGAGACAATGTTTGAATTTCATTTTCATATTTATGAACCTTTTATATATCACATCTGACTTTAAAATATTAATTAGGAACCTGTTGCAATCGGGGAGTTACGTATGCAGAGTTTTAACGAGTTCGACGTGACTGAAATCAAGCACGAAATCAATGTCCTCAAGTGAGATGGTTTTCAAAAAAAATTATATACATACACTTGATTTAATAACTTTAACATAGATACTAATCAATCACCTAACAGACAACTTCGGCATGAAAAAATTGTACGATTCATAGGTGTTTGCAACAATTCAAACCATTTTTGTATAATTACCGAATTATGTGATAATGGGGATTTGTTTGATTATATGAGAAAAGGATCAAGACCATCTTTTTTTCAGCAGGTTAGTTTCCTTTTCTTCAAGTTTTGAAGTAAGTTGTGACCCTAATTATAACATCGTTATTATTTTTTAGATTACGCTCATGCACGACATTGCCATGGGAGTAGCGTACCTGCACACGCGTCGACCCAGCATTATTCACCGAGTAAGCCAAATTATTTGTTGATTTTGACAAAGTCATCATTTTCTATAGTGATGTTGTCTTTTAAATTATTTTTAGGATTTAAAATCTATGAATATTTTGGTAAGGATTTATAATTTCCAAGATACTTCAATCTATTCTCACTAAAATCAATCCTAATTACAGATTACAAGCAACTTGCAAGCGAAAATTAACGACTTTGGTTTGGCTCGTATCCGACCCAAAGCAAATGCAAGTATACACACACTGTGTGGTACACCAAATTGGCAAGGTGAATAGAAAGATAAATGTATAGTTCTTGACTAATTATTTCTGTTGAATATCATCACTAACTGAACATCAAATTTGCTAAATCAGCACCGGAATTTTGGTATCCAAATCCAAGTTACACAGAAAAAGTTGATGTAAGTATGTTGTAATGTTTGTGCCATCATAGATCTTGTGAATGAATCACAATTTTATATAATAGGTGTATGCATGTGCTTTGATATTCTGGGAAATTATGACATGGGCTGAACTAGGTTATCCTTATCAGAATTTTTCGGAGCATCAGTTATATGAAGCAGGTATGTCCTAATCGATTTTATTTATTATTCCCGAGAATTTGATTAATATTCGTGTCTAATTTCTAGTCAGGGATAAGGGTATGCGACCTCCAACAGAACTGTTAAAAAAATATCCTCAATTTCTTGAACTAGTAGAGGAAATGTGGAGAAGAGACCCTACTCAGGTATATTGAAGCCTTTTACTAGAATTCATTTTAATTTCTGATTTTCTAGATATCTTACTTTTGCAAATTAATAAATTAATTAGCGACCGAGTATGGGAAATGTTGTCGAAAGACTTATGAAATTCCTATCATAATTACAAATTTTTACTAAATTATTTTTATTTTTTATTTTCATGACTATATTCTATCTGTTCATCTCCCATCTCAGCATTACTTTTTAAAAAAAAATTTTTAAGCGAATAAAAAAGCTTTATGAATTTTTAATATTGTTAGAAATTAATAAAAATAAAGTACTGTCTTGAATTTTTATTCTGTAAAATTTTGAAGCAAAATATTATAACAATGTTAAATGTCATACAGTAAGTATCGACAAATCTCAAAATGTATTTCCTTTGGGATCATTCGTAAGTGTCATTTAAGGAGTGCAAGAATTCATAGAGAAAATGGCGTCAGTACTAACCTAGTTCGATCGGAATTAATAAAGCTCAATGATAATTAATTCTAGCTAAAATAAGTTAAATTCGATTAGAATCAATTAATTTTTGATTAGAATAAATTTAGTCTAGGATAAGATAATTCACATGAATATGTTATTGTTAAAATTCAAATTAAATATATAATTAATTTGATATTGCAGCATAAACTATTCCCTTTATAATAAATCCATCTCTTTTTTTTTATAAATAATAATTTTTTTTTTGCTAATTAACTTGGAATGGATTGCTTGACAATTTATAGTATTTGTCAAAAAAAAAATTACATTCTAAAAGTTTATAATTATTTACAAGATTCTTAATTCAATACTACAAAGAAATAATAGAAAAATATCTTCTTATCAAGTTTATTAATTATTAAATAAAAGTCATATTCAATTATTCAGAACAAGACTAATTCAAGTTAAATTGTATAAAATAAAACTTTTAACTTATTATTAATCAAAATTGAGATTTATAATTATAATACTAGAAAAATTATATTAAAAGAAACTTCAATTATATATGTTTTAAATATATTTTATCTTGATAATCTTCATAATCTTTATTATTTTAACTCAAATATTTTTATCTAATATTATACTTAAATAAACTAATTTAATATTAAAAAAAAATTCTTTATACTAATTTTTTGATTATACATAAAAAAGATGCTTACAAGAAGTTTTATACTCTCTTACTAATAAAGTCTTAATATTTTTCTTAAAACAACTTAAAATATCAAGAGTCATCTTTCTTTTCCCTTTCTCTTATTATACTTTTTTTAAATAAAAACTTGATTTTTAATAACTAAATAGCCAGTAATATCTTTTTTATCAATAGTAAGAAAGTTTTGAAAGAAAAAAAAACTAATGTATTATTATCTTATACTATAAAGAAATATTATAAAATAGTTCTATTGATAAGAAACAATCCTTTTACTCTTTTATTACTATTTATACTCTAATAATATTTATTTTTGAATTTTTCTAAAAAATTTTATATACTTTAATTTGATTTTAAATTTTGAATAATATAAAATTTTTTATATCATAATTGAACAAATAAAGTATATATTAATAAAAAAAAAGTAAATAAGCTTCTATTGATTATTTTATGTATCTTAATATATTTTTTTAATTTCATAAAAACTTAAAATTCACTATAAATCATTTAATATATTACATAATATAAATGAATATAAGATACTATTTGGATTATACTATATCATTGATTCTTTTTAAAAAAAATCTTTTTAATCATAATAAAGATTATAAAATATTATAACTATTTTTAAAGTTGTAATTATTTATCTTTGATTATTGAATAGATACTTCTTTATTCTATCAAATAAGTAAAAATTCAAAATAATAGTTTTTGTAACAAAATTAAATTTGATATAGTAGATGATAATAAGAAATCAAAATTTTTTTCTTTTGAAATAATATGTCTCTTTTGAATATATTTGTTAAAAGAAATTTAAAAGAATTAACAAATATTTTTTTTAGTATATAAATTAAATTGATCCAAGTAAGTTTTTTCTAATAATAAATTGTCTAATGAATTGAAATAATTAAGATATTATAATATAGAAATATTGAAAATAATTGATAATAAGTAATATATTCTTAATTGAAAAAATTCTTAAAGAATAATTAGCTTATGGTATTAAAGTAATAGTAATATGAGATTTTAATAATTCTATAAAAATCTAAAAATATTTTATTGAAAATTCTTTTTTATATTAATATTATACTTTAACTCAAAAGTTTAATAAAACAAAATTAAGTTATTATTTCAAAAAAAATAATTATCTATTCAAGATTAAACTGAGATAGGCAAAATCCTCCAGAAAAACTAAAAAGGAGTACTCTTAAAGTCAAAGTATGACAAAAGAGTGGGTGATTGCCTTCAAGATATGTCTTCCATTATTCGAAAAGCTCTGTACTGTCTCTCTAATAAGTAAGTGGATGGCAGTACTACAGTTCTTATTCCTTTCAGAACTTTTTTGCCGTTAGTAAAAAAGGTATTTCATGGCTTTGATCACTGAAAATCATATTTTTAGCTAAAGAAAATTGTTTACAAGAGGAAGGGGAAATGAGTATGACTCCTAAAGTTATTACTTCAGGTTGATTTAAAGAAAGTGATAAGACTTTATTAGTTAAGAAGTAAAAAAACTTCTTATGAACATTTTTTTTGAGTGTGGTCAGAGAATTAGCAGAAAGAGTTCCTATATTTTAATTTATTATATAATAAATATAAAATTTAATAATAAATCAAGACCATTTAATAAATATACTTCAACGTAACCTTGGATCTAAAGAAAAACTAATCTTTTATTCTAACAAATCACTTACTAATCATGGAAAAGAAGATATGAAAATGGGAGCAACCTAGATCCAAATAGAAAAAAAAAAAAAGGAAAGCAAGTTTCAAATAAAAGTAAACAATTGGTTCTCTTCTATAAGAGTAGAATTAGTAGCAATTATAATAATACTTCTAGTAGTCCTAATTAAAAGCATGATAGAAATCTTTATCAATAGTCAAGTATGTATTTCTAAGTAGAAATCCTTGGAAAAAGAAGATCCAAAAAGGATACACAAGAGATGGCTCCCCTGCTGATCCTTTGACCATATATAAAAAAAATATTCGTAAGAAGTTTTTATACTTTTAAGCTAATAAAGTCTTACTACTCTCCTTAAATCAACTTGAAGAAACTTCAAGAGTCATCAACTACCTCCTCTCCTCTTGCTTACTATCCTATTCAAACAAAAACTTGATCTCTAGTGACCATAAAGATCAAGAAAAACCTTTCCTACCAATGGCAAGAAAGTTCTGAAAGGAAAAAAAACTAATGTGCCATTATCTCACACTGTAGAGAAACATCATAGAAGTTCTGCATGATGAGAGACAACTTTCCCACTCTCTTGTCAGTTGTTTGGCTTCTCATAGTGCACGTTCTTGATTTTTTCTGGGGAATTTTGCCTACCTCAATTTGACCCTGAATTTTAAGTAACACAAAGTTTCTCATACCATGATTGGACAGATAGAGCTCACATTAGTAAAAGAAAATAAACAAGCTCCCATTGGTCACCTCATGTGTCTGAATGCATTTTCTCAGCCCCATAAGAACCTGGGGTCCACCATAAGTCATTGATTTGGATACGGGTGGATATAGGACACCTCTCCATTTATATCATTGGTTCCTTCAAGAAAGAGTCCGTCCAACCATGGTAAAGGTCACAAGATACTATAACTAGGTTTTATAGTTGTAGTCATCTACTCCTGACTACTGAGTAGGTTCCCTCTCCAGCTTCATCAAATAGATAAAGATTCAAAATACAAGTTCTCACGACAAAGTTGGATTGAATGGCAGGTGAGACAAAAGGGGATCAAAAATTTTTTTTTTGGGATGATGTGTCTCATCTGAGTACATTAGTTAGGGGGAATCTAAGAAAATCAACAAATCTTCTTTCTTGGTGCGTGAGTTAGATTGATCTGACTAATTATCCCTGACAACAAGCCATCCCGTGGGTTGAAATAATTAGAATTTCACAACATGGAGATACTAAAAGCAGCTGAGGAACAGGCAGTACACTTTTGACTGATAAAGCCCTCAAAAAGTAACCAGCTTATAGAATCAAAGTGATAGTAGTAGTGTAAAATTTTAATTACTCACAGACAATTCTAGAAGTGTTTTATTAGTAACCATTTCTTGTATATACATTCATTTGCCATGACTTGAAACTTTAATAAAACAAGGCTGAGTTGCCGTTTTAAAAAAAAAATACAAGAGATGGCTCAAGAAAAAAAATTAGTCCCTATGGACATGTATA